AAACACACACACAGCACACAAATAAAACACTAAAAACACTTTTGTTACGGAGCACAAGAAATATGATTTCACTCACAAATTCTCAAATAATAGCGCGAAACACACATATAGCCCGAAAGAAATATAATTGCACTTATAACAGTTATAACCTCACAAATATCGCGAGCGAGAAACACGCAGCACCAATACAACCGAAACGAAACTGACCACGCCAGGCCGGCACGCGCGCCGCCGCAAAAAACACAAGACGCAAGTCATATGAGGGATAATGAAGGGAGTAATAAATGTATTGTTGTCCTGCCGCCCAATGTGCGAAGGAGATGCCTTTGTTTTTCATTTTGTCCTTCATAAATATATAACTGTTAATCCATAATGCATAAAGAAATTATTCAATTTTCAAAACCCCCTATAAAATGTGTTGCACTGATTCCCTTGACAGGCAATGATTTATTACTTTGCATCGAATACGATCGTACTATAGTTACCAAACCGTCGAGGAATCTCTAAGTCTGCAAAGAAGATCCGAAACTTCTCCATTTAACCGTTTTCCTATATAGTTTCTGAGTTCCCAACACATGCATCACTACAATGGCCCACTTGGTATAAAAATGATTTTGGGATATTCCACATTAAATAGACGACAAACTTAAAGATATGTTTAGACGAGAAACCTCAGTTTGATGTACCTTGTACAAATTCTTCTGTAACTTGAAAAAGTGACCTAAAAATGACTTTTTGGCAAATTCCAGTGTCGTTTAAAAAATATGACAAAAAGTGATCTAAGTGACTGGTTCTATCTTATCCTTTTGTTCAGTAATAATCATCTTACATGAAACACCAGATCAATCCCGATCGCGATTGAGGAAGACGACTGGCGATTGTGTTTAATCAGTCACTGAAGGCGATACATCAAACTCGAACTTAGATCACTAATGCGTTCCATAGTCCCAGGGATATAATCATGATGTACGTTTTGTGAGGTCTAGGTCAATTTGGACGTCCCGAGTTTGGACGTCTCAAGTTGTCCCTCATCCATTATCAACCGGCTTATAACGGCATTTGGCTCGACTTGTCAGTTCGAGATGCGCTTTAGAATAAAGGAGGTCGTAGATTACTGGAGAAACTTGCGGACATGCAGGATAATATTCTAGTTTCAATCGATATAAATACGTCCAATAATGTCTAAATTAAATATATTTAACTGTTAGTCGCTGTTGAAATGGGTGTCCGTATCGTGTGAACCAAAGTACGTCAGTTTATGTCCAAAACAGCGGCATCGTAGCATTAATATCATATTAATGCAAACGAGTGATTATAATTTAATGATTGCAATGCAATAACGGCGCAAACAGTAAAATAGCGGTGTTCGGTGTTTGTTGTTTCTATTTCGTTATAATCACTGTTTAATTTAGAATAATTCTAGAGAAAATCATACATCATAGGCTTAAGCATTATCATCGTAAAATAATATATATTTTTCCCATTTCATTTGATTTATATGTCCGAGTTCTAGCTTCTATAAAAAAACATCTAAGGTAAAAGTATTCTTTCATATATTTATTTAATACTGTGCTTAATTAACTCTGCGTATATTATTATTTTAAAGTTAAAATTTAATTCAAATTAATTTTGGAAACTCTCCCTGGAATTTCAAAATGATTGGATTGAATAATTCCTTCCATTTTCATCTCGTTGACCACTCTAAGTAGGCCTTTACAACAAAATCGTCTTCTAATGACACCATTTTCTAATCTACAACAGTTCGAGTACTGTATATCGAATAAACCATCAGTATTTGCCTCCTTGAAACAAAAGTAACAGTTAACAGATGATTAGCATTGAAAAACTGATTATTTAGAAAATTTACGATAAATTTTAATAAAAATACAATCGACGAATACAAATAAATACAACAGCAAGCAAACACGGGAAGCATGAACGTCTCTGAACATCGACAGATCGTGTCGGTCGGAAATCTAAGAAAACGGAAAATAATTTTGATTAAATGGTAGTAAATTTTAATTTAGTTCGTAACATTTACCTGTGACGTCATTCTGGATCGCAGTGTTATAGTTATATTTAAATCAATTTGAACTGAAAATAAAAATGTATATGTTTTAACATGACAATATGACAATTATTTAGAACAAAGGCCTTATTTTTAGATAAATTATTCTTTGTACATTTTTACTTTTCCCTTTCTTCATCGTTTTTTCACGTCTATAATTTTGTCACCTTGTCGACATCCCCGTCTCCCGCTTCGACTAACACTAAGAAAAATTATTACTTACCTCACTCTTCAAAGAATTAAAAATAAAATATTAACCTTCTTCTTCTTCTTCTTCTTCTTCTAGGTGTGGGCATCGTCCTCGTGACCGTTAGTGGTGTGGCGTGGCGCTTGACCTCGCACGACTCCTCCACTTGCAGGTCCATGCTAGGTCTGGGATCCACCGAGTCGGTTGACGTATGCGCGCGACGTTTCGTCCCTCGACTACCCCCTTCCTACGGCCGACCGCACCACCCCTACGCCGCCATGATGTACCCGGAATTCCAGTACAGGCCGCCGCCACCAAGCTACCAGGCCTCCATGCAAGAGTATAGACTGAGGTTATTGCTGCTGGACAGGGGTAACACCCCCCAGATCCAGGCCGGGATACAGAACGCCGTGAGCCCGCCCCCCACTTACAGGAGCCACGCAGGAAGTCTTTTAAGGTAAATTTTAGCTTATTTTTTTTATAATGTGTGATCCATGAGATCTTTAAGCTTCCTAAGGCGGCGGTTTGCTGTCTTTTCCAAGAAACAATGAAATGAAATGATAAGATTTTGAGAACGCTAAATATGTCAGTTTTGTTAGTTTCTGACCTTCCTATTGAGGTCGCTAGCTACGACTTTTCTAAATGACATTTTGTTTGATACTTTTTGAGGTTAGATTAAGTATATGCCATAATAGTTGTTTTACATTGACAATTTATTGATCAATTAATTCATGAAGTCGCTTCACAAGAAATTGGACAAGTGTAATACACGAAATCTGCTGTCAAATAACTTCATGAATTTATTCATCAAGTTCTTGACGAATTAAAGCTGTTTTACATTGACAATTTATTCATCAATAAATTGACGAAGTTCTTCATCAATTAATTCTCAAATTTATTGGTAAACAGTGGGGTTTTACACTGCTACCGACTTTGTCAAGTTTTTTGACGTATGAATCAGTTCTACCAATGAATCAAAGAAGCAAATAATTTCAAAAATGTCACCTTTTCACTCATAATTGTAGTGATACAACAGCAGTACCGTTCTGACACATATTATATAAATATTAGTTTTTGTAAATAACAAATCAGTAAAAACAATGCAAAAGTCGCACGACGCCACACAATTATTTACATATTCCAATAACATAATCTCATTACTGATGTGAGGCTGGAAATCTGTTGGGTTGGTACTTCCGAACTTCACGAAGAAATTGACGAAAATTAAAATATGCTCTAATTCGTCAAGAACTTGATGAATAAATTGATGAAGTTATTTGACAGCTGATTTGGTGCATTACACTTGTCCAATTTCTTGATGAAGCGACTTCATCAATTAATTGATCAATAAATTGTCAATGTAAAACAGCTTTAAG